GTTGAACGAAAGTACGTGGTTGTGTCTCTTTCCAGATACGCCGTCCTTGAGTTGGTTCAGACATATCTTCTAGGTTTACATGATCATGTGATGCAGGCTGGAACCAGGTTACAAGACTCCCTTATAAATTATGAGGTATTAATTACTTGTCGAGCATTTGTTTGTGATGCTGTGGTTTGGCTGTACTGCTCGCCCTTCTTGCAGTGTGTTGCCTTTTTAGCCGCCGTTGCGGCGACTTCCTTGAGTGATCCCCGCTCGTTGACAGGACGACCAACTGAACAGTCTAGCTTGTAGGAAGGAGCATGCGGGAGCGGATGATGCGATGAGAGAGCCAACAGATCATCAACCAGGTATCGTCCTGCCTGACAGGAATAGATTTGAGGCGACTGGTACCTAGCTGATGCGGGCAGTTCTTTTGTGGGCCTTGCTGGGCACAATTTGGGTTTGGATGGTTTGAAAACATGCAAGGCTTTCTTCCTTATCTCGAGGTAGAAGAGATATTGTGGTTTTCTTGAACCAAATGACCGGGCAAATCAGCAGCATCCATTGGCCTTGATATGTGAACTCCTGCCAGGAGCCCCGGCGGTGAATATCCCTGGCGCTCAGCTGGAGCACCCAGCGCTCGGCGTGCCATAGACGTTGGGCCGAGCAGAACAGCTCTGGAGCTGCTCTGGGATGAACCAAACGGTCTACAGGGGCTTCTTGAAACGTTAGAACCCAATTTAAGAGACTCTGTATGACTCTGTCTTCTATTCAGTTTGACCTTGTAGGGGAATATTCCCACCGCACTTGTTTGGCTTTCTGTTCAAGGTTTGATTTCAGGTATTGCTGGGTGCAGACTTTGGGTCTATTGCTTGAACTTGGAGGCTCCCAGCCATCCCCTTAGCTTTTAAGCTTTTTAGGCTTTAGTGGGGATTTCCATTTAACCCAGTAAAAGTTGAACTTTTAGCAGGGGATCTGCGGGCAGCCCAGTCAAGAGACCGAGCCGCATCACTGCTCCGTGCCACCGAGGTCTGGCAATGGAGGCCAGGACTTGGACGTTTCTTTTGCCCAGTGAGCATGTGTGGCGAGGCGGGAACCCACGTAGTCATAACCTCAGCAAGCATACATAGGTTGAACGAGCTGTGGGAAAAGAAGCCATTGGACTAAGTTTCCCAAGTGGGAAGGTTATATCCACATGGTAGAGCTATGGTCACGGACTCTTGCGGAATGTCGCGCCTCTTGAGCATTTCGGGGGAAGTATATTGTCAAGAAAGGTCTAGGCCGTAATGTGAATCCGGGATGAATAGATCGGTTGAACATCGTTGTTTAGTCCGGGGCTCCCGTTGCTACTCAAAGGGGCATTGTACTTAGTAAGTGGGTCATAACCATTGTTATATCCCACTTGCCCTGATTACAAGTATCCGTTCAGTGGGTTACAACCAGGCTTAGTACCCACTTACTACCCGATCCCCCCTTTAAGTATTCCAGTCTATTGATTGAAGCTGAACGTCTTTGAGATGGTAAGCCGCCAAGCCAGCCCGCTTCTTGCATGCTGAGTCCCTGAGTGGAGGCCAGCTCTATCAACCTTCCACCTGTTTGAAATGCCATTGCGATTGCTTGAATTGCCGCTTCAACTTGCTTGCTTGCTTGTTGGGGGTTCCTTGCTCGCCCCAAGCCTGTTGCAAGGGCCCTTTTGGTTTGACACTTGAGCTGCCAGGCACAAGGGGTTTGTAGGATGATGGTCAAAGGGGGGTGAACACAAAGTTAGATGTGACGTAATCGAAACTAGGAGTCTTCACCGCAAACAATGGTAGGAGGCAGTGCTGCGATTCAGGCACTTGAGAGGAACTTTTCTCGAATGGATGGTTCAACTGATGCATAGATGTTCTTGTAAGGGGCACCTCTATACGGTTGATTGCCTTTTGCAAGTTTACTTGTTGTTTCTCTTCTGGGAGTCCACATGAAGCCTCGTTTTTGCGCGACGGTGGTCCATGCCACAGAAATTCGCGGCGGCCCGAACCAGGTCTCCTCACATTTGCTTCAACTATCACACCCTCCCGAGACGACGCGAAACCAGTTGAAGCTCTCTGTCCATCCCTGGATTAGGAGCCCGCCTGAGGGCTTGTCATGCCATGAAGAAAGGCAGCTCCGACGCTAAAGTTTAAGTTCTGAGACCATGCTCCCACTCCTTTTTGTCGCTCCTCTCCGAGAGCTGTGCCTTGGCTGTTGGGCGAGCTTGCAGCACAATCTTCCAAAGTCAAGTTACATTTCATGGTGCTCTAATCCTGGCGCGGAGGTTTTCTTTAAATAAATCCATCCAACAAACCAACAAATAGTAACAATAGACAATGACAACAAATCACAAATATTAACAATAGACAATAGAGAATCCCACATCACAACACAACAGACGTCACATGCGTTGGGTTTTTATACCAACCCGAAGTCATGAGAGACCAATGTGCCCCGCGTCCGGATCCGCCAGGAGTCGCCCGGATCCGGCGCTGCGACCTGCAGCGGGTGGGCCGCCTGGGCGTGGGCGCCTTCGGCCTGGTGACGCTGGAGGTCCGAGTGCCGAAAGGGGCGCCCAGTGGCCCAGTGGCGCCCTTTTTTTGTTTCCTTTTTGTTAGGGAAGCTCTGGTGCATTTTGCTTGGATTTTGCATTTTTTCGTTCTTGTTTCGGGAAGGGTTCAATTTAAACCCATCCAACCAGAAAAAGGATGCCCTTTTGTTCCCCTGGCCACTGGGCATCTGTGGGCAGCTGCGTCAGGGAAGTGGTTGTAAGAACCACAGTGAGATGACTCACAAGAGCCATGGTTATTGTACTTAGTGGATTTGTGAGAACCATGGTTATGACCCCCCCCCCCAAAAAAAAAAGAGAGTAACTTCCCCAGAATTAGCTCCCCTTGTTTTTGTGTTTTGGGTCCCTTTGCTTTCCACTAACCAGGCAACAAAGAGTTTTTTTTGATTCCAGCCTAGGTAAGTGGTTGTAAGAACGTGGCAAGTGGATATGGTTAAGACCCACAAAAGCCATGGTTATAAGTGGATATGGTTACAACCTGGTACGTCTTTGTACGTGGTTATGAGTAGGAACCATGGTTATTGAACGCCAGGCAAGTGGATAATAACCATGCTGAGAGAACCCACAGAAGCCATGGTTAGTCCCCGCTCAGTGGGTTACTTCACCAGGCTTACTCTCACCACTTACCCGACATACCGAATCGATCGCCCCTTTTCTAAGGGTTGCTTGCAATTCCATTCTGAACCCAGGGATCCGGATCTTTCTAGAAAACCGCCAAAACCCTGGGAAAACAGCGATCGGTTTTTGAAAAGAACGATGGGTTGAAAAGAATGGGGGATCGACCCCGATCGCCCCTTTACGTCGCTTCCTGAATGGCGATCTTGAAGAGGTTGACGTTCTTTCCGTGCCCATCTTTTGCAAGCGCTTGATGCTTTGGTGACTTTGGTGCTTGGACTTGGGGAAGCCAGTTGGACGAGTCAGAGCAAGGGCCTATCCAGAACCAACGATGGATTGTTTGTGTTTTTGATGCACTTGACGGTTCCTCGGTTGGCAGTGTGACGTTTGACATGTATTCGGATGAGCAGCTCAAACCCGCTAATGTGAAAGGTCCCCCTAATTGTTTTGTTTCAAAACCCCAGCGTCCCCAATAGAAATAGAATGAGGCAATTCTAAACCAAAACGAATCTGGCGATGTCTCCCTCCGCCCTCTCCTCCAGTTGTGTTAGGGGGCCCCTTTTGCTCGGACCCACACAAAAGTGAAGGCACGCGAGGCGAGTTGGTAGCCCAAGTCTGGAACAGGGGTCCTCTAATTCCAAAAGCGTTTTTGTTCGGAGATGATGTTTTTTTTTTTGGTTGAGGAGGGCGAACGCCTTATAGTATTAAAAGTGGGAGCGGAATAATACACAGCTTTGGTGGAAGTTGCTTGCTGCAGCCGTCAAATGCCCTCACTGGTTGTTAAAGATTTTCTGCTGGGAGGAAACTGCGGACTTTCCCCGCGGGTTTCTTCTCCCCCTAAGTGCGAATTGTGTGAATCCTTACACATCTTTTGCAAACCGGATCCAAATTTTATTTTCAATGTGTTCGAGGTATGCTGGATCTTGGGGCTTTCCTCAGTCTCGTCTTGCTGAGATTTTGGGGGATGCCGTTCGTGCCGAAACTCCCTCCACAGAAGAGGGCACTGCACTGTGTGGCATGGACTGCCGACCTGTTTTTGTTGGTATAGGGGACCTCTAAGCACAAGAGCCATGACTACATCACATGCACACTCAGAAACAAAGCACTGGGAAGTTTGGAGAACCCCCAACGCGATGCCTTAGCTCAACGACTTTTCTTCGAAGCTGAACCCGGGCAATGAACAACAGGAGGTAACCGTAAATTCCCTTGAATCAACTACGGTAAATCCCCTGCCTGTGAATTCCCTAGCTTTGCCACCCCCCCAGATGGCTACTCTTGTCTCCCCAGATTTTAGTGCTGGCCGCCATGCGGTTGGTTTCTTGCGCAGGCAGACCGCAGAAATGGCCGCACCTATGCCCGGCGCCAAGATTTGAGGAGAGAGGTTGGTACTCATGTGCTGGCTGTTCTTGGCTTTTGCCGCCTTGTCCAATAATGACAAACGGCCACCACAAAAAAGGGTCTCGTATGAAAGCCGCTTCCAAGAAGAACTTGCTCAGGGTTTCTCCCACGCTGCTTGACTGAACCAGGCGGTATCTCGCATTTTTTTATTTTTTTTTTGGGGGGGGGTCATCAATACAGCGTGCACATACTTTGGACAGCAGATACCGGCAACTAGAAACGGTCAAGTGGAACAAGCGTTGCTTGCATTGCCAATTCTCCGATTCCTTCATGTTTGGTCTTTGTTTTGCCTTTAGATCTTTCTTCTTGAATATGGCAGTCTCCGAACTGCTTGGCAAAGAAGTGTGCCTCATCAATGCCTTTCAGTCGAGCAGATGCCAGTTGGCCTGGGTCTAGACAATGCTGAGCCGAGTTGCTAGATGAAACGGTCCTTGCGAAATAGAAGCCAATGCAACAAGGACTCCAGGCTTCAGAGCCCCTGTCAACGGCTTACAGGTTATCTCAGTGGATTCTTGACTGGTTTTCGCTGTATGCTGAAGCTCCACCAGGAAGTCGTTTCGATTACTCCATTTTACGGCATAGTTGCTTGTTCGCTGCCTGAAACTGCTGCCTGAAAACTCATCAAAGTCTGAGATACGACTTCTGAAAAACGAGCGCAATCTATCATTCCCATTACTCCGATGTTTGTTGACTCCAAGCGCTGGCTGCTCTATGTTTTGACCCCGTTCATACAACTGTTGTTTGGATTGTTTGGCACCCGCTGACTAGTCAAGTGTGCCCCTGCTTTCGCGGTCTAACACATACTGCTCATGTTTGTGACTGCAAGCATTCACAATTTTCTGCAGGTGATGTCTTTGTTTGTTCTGTGTCACGCGGTGTACACCAGAATAGCATGGAACCCAACACAGCAGCTGAATCTCCGAATCTGGGGGACACCTTGGCTCTATAGCGCGAGTGTGTACAATAGGGGACCACCCCCAGCCAATTTTGTGGGCCAAAAAAAGGTGACATCAAAACGAGGAGACATCGAGAGCCCGTTTTTTGTTCTTCTTAATTTTTTGTTCTGGTCAGGCGCTCAAGGCGGTGTCCAAGGGCTACCTGGCGCATTTGAGGATGGAGCCTGGGCCCCCAGAACACCGCCGGGCCCCGCCGGGGCCCCGCCGAACCGGCCCCGGCGGGCCCCGGGGTTCGCGGGGCTTGGAGGCTCGGAGGCTTTGCCAGGCTTGCCGGAGCGGCTTGAAGCAACCGAATGTCCAGAAATTGAACTAAGAAAGCAACAACTGAAGCAACTGAGTTCCATTTCTCATTTGGGTGTGGCTCAAAATGAAACAGGGGCAATCCGCAGGTTTTTGGGCACCGGTTTTTTGAGCCTCAGCCAAATGATCCCAGAAGCCACTTCTGTGGTCATTTGGTTGCTTGTGAGAAACGAGGGAGTATTGAGGAATGGTTTTGTTCTTGGCTTGAAAAAAAAGGCCAGTTGATCCACAGTCACTTGTGCAGATTATTGTACTGAGTCCCCCGGATAGGGGTGGGAGAAATTTAGTGAGGTGCAACGTTCAAAGGGGTTCACAGAAATATGTTCTGCGAAGTTGTGAAAGATTCTTGTCAAGGATTGCCATGTAGAAGTTCGAAAACGGTAGCATCCCACTCACTTACAGCAAGGTAGCTCCATCTGGGATTTTTTCACAGGTTCACAAACAGAGTCATCAAGATCTTTAGAAAGAGGGCCGAGCATCGAAACGGGGCTTCAGTGAATTCTGTTTTGGCCGAAGAGCTTTCTCATCAACCCAGCCCATACTTGCTAGCTTTGCTTTGTGCAGCTTGAGGCATGGGAAGTGGCCACACTGTGCTATGAGCACCATCCATGCGTAAGTGCTTTCCCGTAGGACCCCGAAATATATTCCGCCCGCATTCATCAGAGGGCTTCACCTGAACTAAACTACCGCTCCGAAAAGGGTCACCCACCTCATGAATCTAAAGGAAAGTTATGAATCCGAAGTGGACCTTTATGCTAGTTGCCGGGTGGACATTTGCCGGACCCCTGGTAAGTTATGGTTGCCGGCTGATTGCAAATTATGTGATTTGCCAGGTTTGTCTCGCGTCTCTGTGGGCAAAGCTGTTTGACAAGACACAGGCTCACTGACACTTACAGCACATGCACGCAAATCGGCAGACTCGCTGTTTACATGGCACTGCGGATTGGTTCCATAGATGTTTGATAGATGCTGATATTTCACATCTGAGAGTGATCTGAAGGGGACACAGACAAGAAAGCAGTCATCCGGACTTTCACATCCACTTGGTCTTGTGCCTGGTGGGGGATGGCCACCAAAGTAGGCTTCCTCAGAAACATAATTGTCACGTGGTGTGCAGACGGTGTTCCTTTGAAGCAGCTGCTGCAGCGATTTGGGACATGGCCAACTTTGCGTTTACGTCTCCGCATGAATCCAGAGATGCCTCGGAAAATGGGCGGTGTCCATGTGGTGTCCCTTGTAATCAAGCCACCCCCAAAAAGAACACCCTCAAACAATGTTTGAAGTACAGAGCCCTGGTGTTCGCCCCAGGTATTCTGTGCTCAACGAGAAGCGCATCCTGAAGATGCTGGACACGCCCTTCGCCGGGTGACCTAAACCCCCGTGCGTGGCAAGACGGCGTTTCCAGTTGATCTTCAGAATTACTCACTCGCCCAAAGCCGACCTTTTGACCTTCTGGTTTTCCATAGTGGGTCAATTTTTAGACATGCCCCCAAAAGATCAACCTTTCATTTCTGGGTCCTTTGGGCAGGTGAGATTACGAAGGACTGTTGAATGGACAGTGATCATCCATGCAAGCTCTCTCTCTCTGAGCCATACAAGAAGTATGTCGCGCTCTTGGACAGTTTGCGACAGAAATCGGCATCAAGAAACTCATTCGCGGCTCCGCAACCTTTGCAAGGTTGCTCACTATCAGACTGAACAGAAACCGAACCTTCTATTTGCCAATGTTCAGAAGTTCAGCTTGGGGCAGTGAGCTTGCCTATAAAGCATCCTTTTCTTGGGAGGAGTTCTCAGTGAGGAAGCATCATTGCAAACACAAACAGGGTTGCCGGAATCAGGCTCCTGCCACTTTACTTATACAAGGACTCTTTTTGAACTTTGGTTTTCATGCCTTGTTTTTGAGAGGTACGAATGTCTCCGACGGAGGTACTGACCATTCCTGTGCCCGGCACATGGCTTCAAGATGTTTAAACGACCTACCTTTTCGGGGTCACTAGGGATGGGCATGAAGCGTTTTTTGACAAACCAGCATAACCCACATGGAGTTTCGACCACCGCGTAAGTGGGTGTCCTGGGCATGGCGACAACTGTGTGGATTGGGAAGGGCAATCAGTAGGAAATCAAGCGGTTCTTGGGGTGCCCTGTTTACAGAAACAGACACACACACACACTCACACTCACACTCACACACACACACACACTCACACACACACACACTCACACTCACACTCACACTCACTCACACACACACCACACACACAAACACAAACACAAACACAAACACAAAAACACAAAAACACAAACACACAAACACACAAACACACAAACACACAAACACACAAACACACAAACACACAAACACACAAACACACAAACACACAAACACACAAACACACAAACACACAAACACACAAACACACAAACACACAAACACACGAACACACGAACACACGAACACACGAACACACGAACACACGAACACACGAACACACGAACACACGAACACACGAACACAGGAACACAGGAACACAGGAACACAGGAACACAGGAACACAGGAACACAGGAACACAGGAACACATGAACACAGGAACACACGAACACACGAACACACGAACACACGAACACGAGCACACGAACACAGGAACACAGGAACACAGGAACACAGGAACACAGGAACACAGGAACACAGGAACACACAGGAACAGGAACACAGGAACACAGGAACACAGGAACACAGGAACACAGGAACACACAGGAACACAGGAACACAGAACACACGAACACACGAACACACACGAACACACGAACACACGAACACACGAACACACGAACACACGAACACACGAACACACGAACACACGAACACACGAACACACGAACACACGAACACACGAACACACGAACACACGAACACACGAACACACGAACACACGAACACACGAACACACGAACACACACACACACGAACACACGAACACACGAACACACGAACACACGAACACACGAACACACGAACACACGAACACACGAACACACGAACACACGAACACACGAACACACGAACACACGAACACACGAACACACGAACACACGAACACACGAGCACACGAGCACACGAACACACGAACACACGAACACACGAACACACGAACACACGAACACACACACACACACACACACACACACACACACACACATGACATACGGTGCAACTCATGTTGCTTTCGTGAATGTGCATCCCTGCTTTGGTGGGTGACCGCTGGAGAAGTGATAAGCCAGGGGGGCCACGGGCGCCTACAAAACAATGGAGACTGCCAGATGCCTGCGCTCGGATTGAAATAGCGCTAGGAAGGAACGCACCAATGATGGATGTGGATGTGGCCCTTGATCTCCGGCTAATGCGAGCAAACAGCCCTGCTGCATGTCTACGGTCCTTGACTTTGCAGTTGCAAGGTTGTGGCGTTACGTTCGAGAGAGGCTCGTATGATCAAGATGTCTTTCGGGAAAAGACATGTTTGGAGGTTAAAGTGGAATTGAATTCAACCAGATTTACATTTTCCAGCTGAACATCGGTTTTTGCTTCATGGGAGCCAACCCACATCTTATTGGAACTTAGATTGGAAACCTAGATCTTTTGGTAGTTTGTCTTCTTGAACATGAGGATGGAATCCGAAACACACCTCTTTGTTTGTAGAGAGAGAGAGAGAGAGAGAGAGAGAGAGAGAGAGAGAGAGAGAGAGAGAGAGAGAGAGAGAGAGAGACCTCCCCTCCCCCCCTCCTTCCCTCCCCCCCTCGTTCCCTCCCCCCCTCCCCCAGAGAGAGAGCGCGGAAACCTCCCTTGGGACCCTTTTCAGAGCAATCCTTTGGCAGGTCGTCCGGCTCCTTGCGACCTACAATGGCCGAGAGCACGTCTACTTTCTCTTGGAGGCCCTCTTGCCTGGATCTTTTCTAGGTCTCCCAGCGATGGGTGCCAACTTTTACCCGTTCTTTTTTTTTGGTTGGGAGTTGGGAGGGTTCCCCTACTAAAATCGACTCCAGAAGAAATCTCGTTGGTACCCATATAGTCTAAGCTCTCTACTGGAGGAGCTAGTGGATCTTTTGCCCCAATTTCAGCGGTGGCACCCTCGAAATTTTGTTGTTTGGGTTTGGTTGGGTGCACTAAAACGGCTTCACCGGGCTTCGCCAAAATGCGTCACTACACGGCAAACTGCTTCTGTTGTTTTGTTTGGTAGGCTTCACTTCGCATTGTCATCACGGTGTGATTGGCACAGGGTGTCCCCATTTACCTGCCGGCAAAAAAAAATGTGGCTTCAGTCAAATAGGGCTTGCATGTTTGGTTCAACATGGTCAACTCCACCTGTTTGGGTCCGGCGGGTTCACTAAAAAAGGCCAACTTCCAGAGGGGTCACCGGGGGTCTCATCTTGTTCGGACATTTGAGATCTTCTTTGTCCTGCTGGAAAAGGGCAAACATTGTGGGTCTCCCTTGTTTGCTTTGAACCAACTTCTCTAGATGAGTCCACCATCAGTTGATCACTTTCTGAGTGCGCCCTGCATGGTCAACCATGGTTTCTTGATCCAGAGCCCCTATTTGGGAGAAAGGAGCACACTTTGCATTGAGGATTTATATAATTGCCAGGCAGCACTGGGCCAAGTTGTCCCCCGACCACTCACGATGGATGAGAGGAGTTTGGGCCAATGACCATGTCAGAGACTTGCTGGTGGATTCCTTCGGTTCGTGAAGGGGCAAAAGCAGGGCCAGCATAAAGGACATAGTGGCGTGCGCTGACGTGGGCGCACTGTCTGTTCTTTGTGAGCTTGACGCATGTTGGGGGGGTGTTTCCAGCCTACAAATTGCTGGTGATCAGTATGCTAACCTATCTGGAAACTGCCCAAGACACTGGTTTGCTGTTTGTGCACACAGCAGGCGCTTGACAAGACTCGGTGGTGAATGATTTGGTCGTGCGGCAATTATAGTCAGACACTTCCAAGTTCGAAGCGGCGTGGGTTCCTGTTCTCACGCGCACGCACACAACCGCATATTTCAATATGCTTCGCTAATATGTTCCCGAAGTCTTCTGGACGAGCACCACAAGGTACCACAAGGAACCAAGAGGAAACTACAACGACGTGACAGGCATGACAAGCTCTGAACCTTTTGAGACATGGCCTCTATGCGCCAGGGTAATTATTTACAGCATGCTTGATCCAGACGTTCAGGCGTCTACCTTTAAACACTTGGATGAAACTAATTGGTCCCCCTGGAAGACAGCAAAGATGCATCAACGAGGCCTTTTGGAGAAAAGGCTTCTTGGTTTGAAGCAACTTGTGACAGATCACATATATATATATATATGTATGGTACAGCGTTGCCAGTCCCCCCCCCCCCAATGGTCATGGGTCAGACAAGTAACCCCCCCCCTTGTGGTTGTGGTCCTGTGGTTGGGTTGTGGTGGTTTAGGGTTGGTTTAGAATTGTCTTAGGGTATATTTAGAGTGTATTTAGTGTTAGTTTAGGGTTGGTTTAGGGTATTGATTTAGGGTTGGTTTAGGGTTGGTTTAGGTTCAGAGGTGTACGGTTTAAGGTTTGGTTTAGGGTTTGGTTTAGGGTGTATTTAGGGTTGGTTTTAGTTTAGGGTTGGTTTATGGTTGGTTGCGGGTTGGCTTGTCCTGGGGGTGGGGGTGGGGCTTGGGGTCTCGGGCCGGGGGGGGGGGGGGTCCTGGGGGACCCATACCATCTGGGGCGGGTAGCAACACGGAACACGGGACCATATAGTTATATACATATATATATATATATACATATATATATATATATATACACATATATATATATATATATATATTTGTACACATTCATATTGCATATAGGTTTATTTGAATATGCATATGAGTATGATATACAAGCACTATCCATTTACGCGCAATGCTTTGAATAAAACTGCAAATACCTGCAACCACATTATGATTTGCCGCTTGTGCAGTTTGATCACAACGACACTGACCCCTCAGACATCAGTGAACCAACTTCTGAGGGCCAAGGATGGCGGGCGGGACCTGCTGATTTCCAACTTGGCTATGAATATAACTTTGGTGCATTTTGCTTGGCTGTTAGGACTTTAACTTTTTGCCAACTAATGGGTTTTCCATTAAACCACTAAAAGTTAAACTTTTAGCGGGGGAGCAGAAAGCAACCTAGATAACTTGGGAGACCACCTCAAAAGTGGTAACCATGAATCCCTTCCGATTTCTGATGTCCGCCAGTTCGGGCCCCCTGAAATTCACCCCTTGTGGATTTCCCTTCAGGCCGCTCTGGGCGGCGAGTTGTTTACCACCTACGAGCGTTTGAAGCTGTACGGCGAGAGCCTCGGGCAGTGGAGAAAGGGGAAATGAGAGAGGCAACTCAGGGGAGAACGCGATTCTATTTGTTTGGAGTTATTGTTATTTGGTCAGTTGGTTGGTGTGTTTGTGTTCTGTTTATATATGTATATACATATATATGTATGTTTTGGAGTTATTTGGTTGGTTGGTTGGTACGAAAGTGCAAGCTTTGCACAAGTTTTGGAGTTATTTGGTTGGACATGAAGGGCCGCCGCACGCTGTTGCGCACGTTTTTGCAATGACACAGGGACTGGCATTGATGATGCTAAAGGAATGCGTGACTTCGGAGCCTTCTGTGCACCTTCAGGGCCTCTTGAACAAGTGGACAGGGAGTGTGCTGGAAGGAGTTTTTGTGGTCTCTTGGTAGGCTGGGAGTATCAGATCCATTCTTCCACCACCTCCTTATGCGCTGTCATGAATCACTCTCTTTGGTATATTTTGCTCGTTAGCTAAGCTCTAATCCTGTCAGCTTCTGCTTGTCTGGAGGGGTTGAACTGGCTGTGACCGCGAGAATGACTTGAACCCCACTGCTTGAGTCACTCCAGAGTTTGAGCCCAGATTGTTTTTTTTTCTTCTTTTTTCTTCTTTTTTTCGCGGAGAAGTGGAGCCACATCTTTCCGCAATTTTGCCACGGGAGTCGCTTACACCCCCCGCGGCCACTTCCCTAAAGCTTCCAGGGTTTGGCTGTCAAACATCCAATGGTTGACCCAAATCGAAGTGTCATCTCGTGCCTTTTAAAAAAGTCCAGACAAGAGCCAGCATTTTGTCAACCCCCTCTCATACTCTTTAGGAACAAATGTTAGTGACAAGTTCAGACTTTGCCAATTCGCCATTGGTTTGGGGGAGGCCGACACGTTTTCCGAAGAGGTCCCTCGGGAACAAAGAGCCAATGGGGTCCTTCCCGATTGCAATGATCCCGTGGAATTATGTGCTAGTTAAATAACTCAGCATGTTTTAGTTCAAGTCAGCCTCGAATCAAACCATACGCAGACGGGCATTTCTTTGATTTGCCCAGACCCCTATTAATTAATATTCAAAAATACGTAACCAGGAGAAACTGTCCTGCAATGTCCTGCAGGCAGAAGGACTTGGCTGAGAGGGGCTTGCTTAAAAACACTGGGAAGGCAACACACAAAAACCCTTGCTGCGGCTGATACAATTGCCCTCAAGGGCTATTTTCGGCATCAAGAAACCGGCGTGGAGAAACCTTGCTTTGCCTCAGCTTCGCCGGGTACTGTGGATGGCCGAAATCCATTTCGCATCACTTGAGAACCCACTGAAATGAGGATTCCCCTGTAAATACCAACAAACAGTGGTTTCAACCATGGTTTTAAAGTGGTGCGAAACGGATTTCGTCCATCCACAGTATGGACCCATCTCAGGAGAACTGCAATTCCAATAGAATTATCCTTTTGAAAGTTGAGTGTCATCTCTTGGTGGTCCTCGGCGCCCAAAAAATCAAATGTGTGAATTCCCATATCTGGATGGAGGGCGTTTAATTCTTTCAGAGCCACAATCTACTCCCTGCAAGCAACATGGAGCCCAGAAAGGAGTTGTCCAAAATGAGATTCCCTTAAGCAGGTTGTCAGGAAGGAGACTGCTCTAAGCGCAGTGGCATTTCTGGTTCCATATTGATCTGCAGCGTGTCATTTGTCCGTTCGACCGACCCGCTAGGCTCCGAGCACCATGCCCGCTTCTATGTGGCATGCGTCACTGAGGCCGGTCGGGCGGCACTGCCCACCAATTGAATCCCTCCCAGAAGCCAGGCATCCAGCTGTTCTTGTTTGGGTTTGCCTTAAAGTCAGGCCGACCCTTATTCCTTGTTCTTTTCTTCTTTTTTTAGGGGGGGGTGGCACTTCGAAGTCGTTTATCTTTGTGCTTGGTCTACGCTGACTTGCACACAAGTGTTAGACAACAAATATGTTTTGTTACAAAGGCACGCGGTTTTATGAACACAGCAGGGCGGGTTCACAGAGAATAAAGTAAGTCACATTTGGAGTGCCGGGTTAGTTTCGAGCAGAACTCCATGAAAGAAGGGTGTGGTCGTGGGGTTGTCATTGTCGCAAAGCACCTGAGCCACAATCAAATCCCGGGTAGATGAAGGTTAGTGAAGAACAATCCCAACCATAAATAGCTGCGGATCTCCGCCTTCTCAATTCTTGACATGGTTCTGGGTCGACCATTTTCCCGAGCTTTGAGCAAGTGACTCAAACAATGGCCATGGGCCAAACTCCAAATCGCACCCCCAGTGAACGGGACCCAATCCAAGCACCAGAATAGGAAACCCAAAACGGGTGGCGAATTCGCCAATCCCAACCAAAATGGGACCCCAAAACGGTTTTGACCACAGCCATGGGTGGCGAATTCGCCGAAGCGCCTGGTCTTCCGAGCGACTTTTGGAGAACCCCGCCGCGCACCAGGCGGTCCCAAATCCCAGGTGCAGCGGCATCAGCCCATGGGTTGATTCCTTGATTCCTTGGTTCATCCCAAGCCTTCTTTTCAAGAACCAGATCCATGAGGGGTCCCTATATTTCCCTTCTGGGTTGTTTTAAACATCACCTTTTTGCGGGTGATGTTCTCAGGGGAAATATAGGGAGCCCTGTCTATTTCCCCGTGAAAACCGGAGGTTCAAGATCCGGATCCCTGGGTGCAGAGTGGATTTTTTTCAGGTCGCCCTGGGGTTCGTAGAGCTCGAAGTTGTAAAAGCCATGAGCTTAGGCGTCCTAGGTTGGAAATAGATGGGTTTCCCTGGTAGATGCGCAAAAACCACCAGGTAAACCAGGAATCGCCCTCTATGTTTCTACCAAAGCAACCAAAAAGCACGCCTATGGCCATGAGTCGTGTGAGGTGTGAAACAAACACCCTATGAAGCACCCAGCTAAAGAGTCGCAGTTAGTTGTGATAGGTCCCTTATGAGACCAACATGCACAGATCATCCACCTATTCCCCCTTTTGCTTAAGCAGAACCCGACTTGCATTTCATTTGTGCTGCTTACTGGGATCCCTACTTTGTGACTGATTTGTTTGCTGCTGCTCTTTGGGGGGCGCAGGACATTTCTAGCGTTTGTCAGTGTATGCTTTTTGAGTTGTCCGAGGGCAAAACCAAAGCGGCAGCCTCTCATTTTGCAGAGACGCTACACCATGAACCGCAAGGCCACACCATGAAGCGCCTTTGCTTCATGGCGGTTTCTGAACAAGGGAACATGTAGCCAAACCCTGACCATGTGACAGGCTTTGACGCACCTCCACGAGAAGAATGTCATTTACCGGGACTGGGACGAGTCGGAATTATGGGCATCGCGGGATCGCATTGTGTTGTTTGCTTGACTATTCTCATGTGAGAGTCGTCCGAAAGGTCGTTGTATTGAGATATGAAGGGGAAGACCTGTTGGTCATAGCGTTGACCTCCGCGAAAGTTCCGCGAAGGGGGTCGCGGAAGTTGTCTTTTTGTGCGCAAAAGTTTTGTGTAAGGGTGGCTTGCTAAAAGGAAGCTGGAACGATGAACCATGTGTATTTGCCGGCAGGAATTTTTGGCGTAAGATCCGCGAAGGTTTCGCGAAAGTCGACGGACCTGCCCGCTAGTTTCCGGACATGAGGCCAACGGGTCCTCTCGTGTGCTGCCGCATGGCTTGTGAGCTGGAGCTGCCGAAGCGCGCTTCGCTTTCTACTTTGGAACTCAAAGGTTGCGACTTTCGAGCTGGGACTGCAACAGAAGTTTACTCGTCGTGTATGACGTTCGCATCGAACAGTTGCGACTATGAAGCGGGGGCTGCGGAAGTTTTCTTCGTGTACGACTTTTGTATTGAAAAGTTGTGACTTTCGAGGCAAGGCTGCAGCAGCTTAGTTCGAGTACTACTTTTGTATTGAAAAGTTGCGATTTTCAAGCTGGGCTGCTGAAGTTTACTGTTCGTTCTACTTTCGTATTGAAAAGCTGCGAGTTTCCAGCTGGGGCAGCAAAAGTGTACTTGGTTTACTATGTTCTGAAAGCAGCCCGCGAAAGTTTCGCGATGGGGTCCGCGAAAGTATTTTTTTGTCGCGAAGACGGCGGTTTCCGGAACAAGGAATTCAGACAACCGTCATGTAGCGCGGCCGGCCTGAGAGAACACCAGCTGCAGGTTGCTCCAAGCCAGCTGCAAAATAGGTACAGCAGATGCTGGGATTGTTTTTTGTTTGCCCGCTGTTGCGGTAGAAGGACCAGGTTGACATAAGCCAAGTTCCTTAGGACCTGAAACCGGAGAACCTCCTCCTGGACGTGCACGGCTTCTGCAAGGTGGGCGGAAACTAAAGGCTTCCGGAGCGACATGTTCGAGTTGTGTGGAAGATTTTCCTTGTTTGCATTCGCCTGGAAAGAAAATTTCCCATGAGTAATTACTGCCCCCTTAGTGCCCGCGCCCTTGACGGGGATCGTTTTTCCGCATGGGGAGTGCAGCAGATAGCTGTTTGGAGGGCGCTCGAGCCTCCAGACAACCTCGACCCGCTTCTGACATGTACGTGCGGGGGGATGCTTGCTTGAAGCTTCCAGAGCATCGCCGAGACGCAGAGACTAGCTTCTAGAGGTGTGTGGAAGCAGATCCGCTACACTTGAGGCAGCAACATGATCTATATATATATATATACCTGGGTCTTCCATTTGGTCACTTTTTAGGGCTCTGGGCATTTTTGTATGCTCGTTTCAGATTTTGAGCGGAAAAACTAAAAATGAGCGGAAATCTTGATTTGGCAGGATTTGGCAAGTTGTCTCCCGGAAAATGAGCGGAAATCGGCGGGAAATGAGCGGAAATCGGCGGGAAATGAGCGGAAATGTGCGGACACGCACCAGAACCACTTTCCAATTGAGCGTTTTCTTTCCAATTAAGCGTTGTTGGATGAAATGAGCGTAATTTTTGCTCGAAACGGGAAAATCCAGAAAAAAGTGCCCACGGAAGACCCAGGTATATGGCTCAAAAAAAAAAACTAGCACGGATTTTAGTCGTTGGTTCCACTTTCCAAAGGGGCTGTTTGGGTACAGGTTTTTGAGCCACAGCCATATATTTTTGCAGCCTCGCCATTCAATGAACGTTGACAATCGGAGAAGCTTGGAGCAGAAGCTGAATCACTCAACATTTTGCTGCGTGACGTGCGCATATCGGGCACCAGCTGGTGGGGGCATCCGCGTGTGTAAGTGCGGGGGGGGTGGAGGCATTTGTGTGCTCAATTGGGGTATCACAAGTCATGAGCGTGTGTGTCATTTGGGGCTACGCTTCTTCGCTTCTTGGTGGAAAACCAGTTTAGTTCAACCGCCGTTTCGAGCACAAAGAAAGATTTCCGGTGTTGCAGTGTGTGACACCCATCTATGTAGCTGCTTGCAATTCATCAGCGACCCATGCGAGCATCTACAGGTTGCACCTGCCTGAACCTTGCACCAAGCCTCTAGCGAGCTCGCCCCGAAATGGTTTTTCTTGCCAGGTCACTGATATGGGCCTCGCAAAGATCTCTTCGTGTGTGGGCCTCTGGTTTTGACGCTTGGGACAGAGAAGCCCCACGAGTTAGGCACATAAAGTCTCGTTTCTCACATGGGAACTTGTACGTTTGTGCGAATGTGCCAAGTCTGCGTGTGCCTGTTGTGTGTGTTGAAACAGAGGGGGGCCCGAAATGGCAACCGTAACTTTTAGAGAATAAGTTGGAGTTGTGCGGGAGGTGAGCTCAAATATTCCATATATATATATATGTATAAACCAAAGCAAGAGACACGGGTTTTGCAGCGCGAAAGGTTTTTGGATTGGTCTTCACAAATCCAGAAACAGAACGTGAACTTTGTGTGTTCTGGCGTCTTGGCTTCAGGCATAGCATGCAGGCATCATGCAAAGCATGCATCACCGATCAGGGACCAACCACCTAAAGGGAATAGAAGCCGACCGACTGACCGACTGAACAGCCGCAAAGCAGGCAACCATGTCCATTTGCAAGTGCGGATCATGCTTAGCTGGCTCAAATTTGGACATGCAACCGGGGGTTGGTCCTTTTTTCAAACCAGAGCATGAGCACGAAGGGCTCTTGTGCGGGTTTGCAGGCATACCTGATCAGTTTCGGTCCCTTGGATTGCAATGCAGGTCCGGATGCTCAATGTCCTCGCAGGGTTGTTAAAAGGTTCCACCTAAGCTATCCCAGCTCAAGCACCTTCGAGGCCCGACGTTCACCATGGTGGGCACGCCGGACTACATGGCTCCAGAGGCCCTGGGAGAGACGGCAGCTTGGTATTTGGGGGACCTCCGAAAGGAGTTGTTTTTTGAATTGGCCGCCTTTTAACCATTCGCTTTTGAGTGCCGCATACTCAGACACAAATTCCCCAAGTTAGATCCGTGATGTTGTGTGTATGGACTAATATCGAAACATGCTACGTATGTTCATCGACACATACCAAATGGTGTTTTGTACTTTCCCTACGTGCCTGCTACAATGGATTGACTGGAAGCATTGTGATTGTGATGGAACACATCCGGGAATTTGTTTGCCCCTTCAATCTGCAGGTTTGGTTTAGTCAAAGCTGAACTCACGCAGCGCTAAGACTGCCCAGACCCCACCCTGAACAGGATTACCCCAAGCAACTGGGAAACAAGACAATGCAGTTGGGCCGCATCTTGTTGTTGCAGTAGTGTTGTTTTGTCTCCTTTCGCGTTTTGTATCGCCCAGGTTTGTTTCCTCGGAGAACACTGAGCAGCATGGCACGCGGAGGCGTGTTGCTTGTTTTCACTCGCAGGTCATCGACCAGACTGGGCACACCAAGTCGGTTGATTGGTGGACTCTGGGCGTACTGCTCTTTGAGCTACTCTCAGGACAGAGACCCAAGCCATGAGTCGCCAGCCGAGTATTTTGCAAGATTTTGCAAGATCGATGAAACACGGTACGCCCGTCATGATCAACACCCCCCCCCCCAATCCCCCGCGTTCTAGGAGCCCACCTAGCTTAGCTGAAGAAGCACTACGTAAAACTGGAGGTTTCTCAGCGACATCAACATCCAACAACTGTTCCATGATGCAGGATCCGGAGTTCGATATCCATCTTATTCAGATTGACGAATCAGCTGAATTATCCCATGCGCTTGAGGCTTTTTTAGCGAAATAGCTTGTGTTGATGCAATACAGTCTTGAATTATCTATGTTAGATTTAGCATGATGTTACCATACAGTTTCAGTCACTTGTGCAAAGCCAAAGGTTGGCCCATTTCAAATGTGCACCATGGCCCCAACTCCACATAGTGTAGCCGCTATTGCGTCCCAAGGGCAAAAGAGTAGCAGCACCGGATAGTCTGCCCGGAGGTAAGGGAAGTCCGTTGAGTTTGTCATAGCAGCCTGTGGAACTGTGTCGCCATTGTTCTAAGATGGTTTCCAGTACCCCCAAACAACTACCCCCATGGTAAATTTGGTATATACATATATATATATATATTCTGGATAGTGGCTATATAGATTAAACCCCTGGGAATAGTGGCTTGGGGGTAGTGCAAACCATCTTAGAATTGTGTGTACGTGTGTGTTTGGCACCCTGTTTGGGTTGATTGAAGCCGACATAAAGCCGGTGCCATAAGGAAAGAAGGGAATCTCTGATCAGGAGCAGCTGCTTCGATGGGATCAATAATATACTTGTAAATGCAGTGCAAGGCCCAAGGTTTCCCATAAAAGGTGAGGGGCTTGATGAGCGTCGCTTTCTTGGGATCCTTTGTTTCAGACTGAATACCGGCTTCCGCGAATGCGTGCATCGTTCTTCTTCAGGACACGCTCCCTTCGAATCGAAGAGTGGCAATGCCCATGAGGCCGGGAGGAACGCGCATCTTTCAAGGAGAGAACAAATGAATACATATATATATATATATATATGTATATATATATATATATATTTACGCATAGTTATATACATATTATTTATTCATTTGGGTATTGATTTATTGATTTAATGGTTTCATCATTTTATTTGTTCACGTTTTTGTTTTTCATTTATTGATTGCTTGTTTGCTTGCTTGTTTGTTTGTTTCTAGAGATCCTTCTTGAATCACCCGTGTTATGCTCGTGGACCTGGTAGCTCATTGTGCCGTACGCATAATTTGTCTCGCCTGACCTGCAAAACTTGCCTGCGTCCTTTCTGGGACCAAGGTCTAAACCTCGCTTTGGGTCAAGCGGGCCAAGCAGTTCGATTCGGCAACTTTCTGGCTGGGGAGTTTTTGTTGAAGGAAGAACTGGGAATGTGTGGAGTCGACGCTAGGGATTCCTCCACATTGCAAGTTTGTTTTCATGTTGGTTTCTTAAGCCAATCGGAATCAGGCATCAGTTTTGTGGTCAGCTTGTTGAGGAAACTACCCAAGCTCGGATATTGCAGTCCGAGGCATGTGTCAAGAGAGCTCCCGCAGTCTGACTCGGTCCATGCCAACCTTGACGCCCTGGTTCTAACCTCTTTGGTGAGCTTCCCTAAATCAGCTAGTAGAAGGCCTTCCAGTTCTCCGCAGAACTGGCGATCTGGGCCAAGGTGCGTGGCAAACTTGAGACAAAGGCTCAGTTGGCACGTGTTGCGGCAACTCAGTCGTCCACGGATTGCGTCAATGGGAGTCAAGAAATAACGACCCCTTAGCCCCCAAAGGCATGGTAACTTGCCTAGTTGTGTGGTCACTGATGTGAGGTTTGCTTGAGGCCACTTTGGTTTAGGTTGAGGGTTGCATGTCATGACAGACTTGTCGAACGGCAAACGCCGTTTGGCTCAAGCGCACAACAAGAAAACAGCGCTGAGTGCGGAACGAGAGTCTAGGAACCACCCCCTGAACCGCTGAGGAATTAACCACGGTCAATCCACCTCTTTTTGTTCAGGGCGCAGCCTTCGGCGCGCGTTTGGGGTTTCTTGCTCTTTTGATTGGTTATCAGCCGTATAGCCTTTCTTTCGGGATTAACTAGGCCCTCCCTCAGCGGTTCCCCCATAAGGGGGCGCGCATGGCCGTTGAGGAAGAGTACCACAAGCGTGGAACTCGCGGAGGAGCCGCAAACAAGAAGCGTGTGTGGTGGGAGCTCCAGGAGGACGTGATCGACGAGGTCCAGCAGCGTTTTGGGTTTACACCACCCAAGCTGCAGTGGGAACAGGGATCAGAGGTGCAGCTTGCTGCCCTTCGGGCCTGGAACCGAGACGTCACCGAGCAGCGCTGGGAGGAGCTTCACAGGTGGCATCAGCCTACGGCCCTTCGCATCCGGGCAATCCGCGAAGAAGAACGAAGGGCCGCAGCCACTGGCGCGGCAGGTGCAGATACAGTGCCTGCCACTCCCTCGTCTCCGACCCCATCCACACCGCCTCAGCAGCAGCAGGCGGCGCATCCTTCCGTGGCCCAGCAGGCTTCACCTGCTGAGGCTTGGTTGTCTGCCCCGGCTTTGCCTACAGCGAGGACCGCAGCCTACGGCGCGGTGGCTGGCACAGCTCCGAGGAGAAGGACATCTACGACCTCCACACGGTCAGTGTCAAGGCAAGTTCTGCGAGCAGTTTACTCCCAAGTACCTATTGTGCTTAGGTCTCGCTCTCGGTCAAGAACTCCGACACCGATCCAGGAGGCCGCAGCCCTCGGCGCGGCAGGCGAGTCGAGCAGTCGGGAGCCTTCGGGAACCCGCAGAACTCCTCGCCCGACGACCAGTCGATCCTCGCGTGGCAGATCAAGGAGTGTGCCATCAAGGACCTCGCCAACCGACAGGCCGATCGTGCTGGCGCCAAGGAGCTCGGCCTATCCGACGGTTCGCATCGATCGGACCGGCGCGTGGACACTGCAGAGGGAGCAGCCCTCAGGCGCTCCACGTGCATTTGCAGGCCGAGCCCGATCACGTTTGCCGCAGTTCAGTGATCCTCACGAGCTGCCAACGGACGTGTGGCTCCGCCCCGAGGCCTACGGGGAAAGGTCCAGTTCCTCGACCCCGAACTACGGGAACGCGGAGGTTTACCATCTGGCAGACTACTCCGACGGGGATACAGTGCACAACACCGAAGATTTGCTTTCAGGCAGAGCAGCATTCCGGGCGGGTGGGGTATACGAAGCACCGTTTCATCGACCTACATCGCCGGCCCCACCTCCGGCCCCTGCTACGAAAGCCACAGCAAAGTTTGGGACGCGGCCAGCGGCGCGGGGAACAGTTGCAGCATTTTTGGCAAGCAGTCGCGGACGTGTTTTGAGCAAAGCAAGATCTTCTTCGCCTCCACGCTCAGCAGCACCGCCAGCCAGAAAGGCTTCTGTCCCTGCAAGCAACCGGCCTGGCCCACACATCAGGTACAAGCAGCCGCCGGCATCGTTGAGGTTGCCACCAAAAGGGCAGGGAGCAGCCTTTGGCGCTCCAAACCCACCTTGGCGACAACCGCCGAAGCGAGGGCCACCTCAGCCTCCTCCACCAAGGCGAGAAAGCCACGGGATCCCAGATCCCCCACCTCGGACACCCCTCGCGGACCGGAAGACGCTCAACATCGTTCTGGACTGGCACGGGGTGCTCGACGTGAACATCCGCTCTGGGGGAAGGCTTCACCCACAGATCGTGGACGGATTGATTCGTCTGCAGACAGCTCACGGTCCGTTCAATTGGATTATTTGCAGCTATTGTGGGGTCGAGCGCGAGCGAACTACGGCACCGGAGATCGCCACAGCAAGGGTACACTTGGCGTACAAGGGCATCTACGTTGGTACAACGCAGTTCACGCGCTCCAGGGTTGGCGTTGCTGGCAAAGCAAACCTATTGCACGGTTGGGCAGCACATATCCTTGTGGACGACAACGCCACAATCTGTCGTGAGGCGCGGCTTACAGGCGCGCACGCTTTCAGGGCGTACCCCAGCCAGGGGGTGCAGGGGACTTTGGACGCATTGATTGCCATTGAGCAGTGGTTGGATCAAACCGACCGAGCGGACATTCAGCCTGCCCGTGCACTCACTACCGCAGAGCTCCTTGAGGAGGTTCGCAGGTAGTAGATCACCTGGTTCTCACGACAGGGGTGCAGCCGTTGGCGCTCCGAAGAGCTGTGGCGCAAAGACGCACGAAGTCACACACATTTCCAATCGCACACAACTGCATTGGTGAGCCTTCACATTTGCATCCAAATTGCAAACAAAAGGTTTAGGTTCAAGGGAGATTCCCCATTATCAATTAGTGAGGTATATCAATCCTTGTGTGACTGAGTGCGTTGCTGCATCATTCAATAATCTACGTTGAGTGTAGCCGTAAGTGCACATCTCATAATCCCACCAGGCACAAATCACCGGCCTTGGAGAGTGCTGCCTTTGGCGCACTGACTTGGTTCGCGTGTGCAGGAAAAGCTATCGCATCCGTGCGGCTCAGGCATGACTTCCTCTGGTATTACGCCCCCATCCGAAGATAGGTCTAGATCCTCACATGGCACAGACTATGATGACCCAGACCTTGCGGGGGCAATGGTGCCAGCCATGTCTGTTGTTAGGCATAACCCTAATAGCCCTGCACCAGGTTCCGATGCAACCCCTGTTAGGCGTATGTTCGTTTCAGAACCATCCTCATCAGAGCCGGCTGGAACGCCCGATCCAACCCAGAACCTCCCAGCTGCTGCATTTGTTGCGGGTGCCGCCGTTCAACGTGCTCACCATGCTTCCGATGTCGCGCTTCAGGCCGCTGAACATGCACAGCAACAGCAACTGCTCTCCGGGAAGCCGCCCAACAAAGGGAAGGGTTGTTTAGGCATCAGGCAATGAACCTTGTAACCCAGGCTCAACAGGCCGTGAGCTACGCACGCGAGCATGAGTTCAATGCGAGGCAGCAAGCCATTGGCGCTGCGGAACAGGAGGAGGCAACCAGGCAACAGGCCGAGGTGCTTAGGCTTCAGGCGCAAACTGTCGTTTCTGAGGCCCATCAAGAGGTAGGTCAGACTAGGGCTTTAGCTGAAAGGTACGCAGCAGAGGTTCGCCTGAACAGGCCCAAGCCCAAGCTCAGACCCAATACCTTTATCAAGAAGCACAACGTGCCGTAGCCGAACGTGATGCCACCATTCTAGCTCTGCAAGAGAAGGATTTACAACAAGCGTCTAGGTTAGCCGAACTTGAAAGGACGGTTTCCCTTTTGCTTGAAGTCCGTCAGCCTCCGACTCGCTCGCCGCAAAGTGCCCCGCAAGCACAAACCGATAATGGTACGGATTCTAATACCCCTCAACCCAAGCGGTCGCATAACCGGAGCTCCCCCATTTTGGGCGGACAGGATGTGTCAATGGGTAACCAAGCAGGGGCTTCATCCAGTGGATTGCAAGACCAAGCAAACCAGCAGAGTGGACTTGATAGATCCTCACAACAGGGTTTAGATAGTGCCGCACCTCAAGTGGGTCCTCATCATACAACTGGTGTTGACTCGGGCGCCCAGCCCGGTGCTTCCTCTGCCAATCTGCATGTCACATTCCAGGATGTTGCAACCCCACGTGATGTTGCCGCAGGAAGTGTGGGACTCGCCAAGAGCCTTGCCCCTACCGGCCCACCACAGGACATCGCAGGAAGTGCGGGACTCGCAAAGGGTTCTGCCCCTACCGATTCAGAGCAAGGTGCCGAAGCAGCGATCGCCAAAGGAAGTGCCACGTCCGCAAAGGGCGCAGCCCCTACTGGCGCACTCGATGTAGGTGCAGGTGTCGCAAGCAACAGTGCTGTGTCCGCCAAAGGCGCAGCCGTTGGCGCGCAGAGCAGTAGTCAGGATGAGAAAAGTGAGATAGCAGATGTTAAGCAGCAGATTGCTTCCCTAGCCTCAATGGTGCATCAGCTTAGCACTTTGGTCGCTGCACAAAGCGTGGCTCCTCCTCCA